AATTTTGTGTTGTAAGTTCTGTACATTTTAATTAAGTTATTGTTGATTATCTTTTGGTTTAATGAAAGTGGCTATTGTTCGGGATGAACAATACTAAGGAAGGGGAAGTGTTACGACAGCGGAAGTCACGCAATGCTGGGAGCATGCACGCTGGAGTTTCTTGAATGATCATGAATTTCCTAGTGCGTTCGAGATGCCCTCTTCTTTAGTATATAAGTCTGGCAGAGAAGCCAGCGATAGATGTAGATAGAGATAGATAATTGAGTCTACTGAATGGTAGTGACGTTGAGCTGTAAATTGTGTGTTTTGCAGTCGTCCCATAGAGCGAAGTTATCGAGCTTGTGAATCGCTGTGATGTATAGTGTGTATTATAAAAGTAGTTAATTTAAAGAGACGAGAAATTTATTGATAGTGAAATTACTGTGTATTACAAAGTTGTATCGAGAAAGAGTAAACTAGTTTTAATCAAGAAAGGACTTGTATCGCTGAAGTTCCTTGGAAAGAATTTTATGTGAAATTATCAAACAAGCAGATACGTAACACAAGTTATAATCTAAGAACCCTAAACTAAAGTTATTGAATGTGGGTAGCAATCTTTATTAATTACATTTCATCATCCCAATTCCACGGTCCAATTGGTTCTTACCATTCAAATATTCCCTGTACTAACCTGTAGTATGAAATGCTACTACATACATATCATTAGTATTGAAATAGTAGCATGTAAAGGTTTGAAGTTGTAATTCTTTACTGCTTGATTTGAAACATTAGGCAAGCAGTAAAGTAACATATATTTATTCAAAATGCATCTTATGAGTAAATGAATAGCAATGTCTCACAGAAAGACCAAATTTTCAAAATCTTAGTTTGATGAACAACTTCAACCAACAATGAAGTAACTTTAATCAGACCATTTGTTCTTATAAAAGTCAAATGATGAAATATGGAAGTCTAATTTGTACATCAATACTTTTGTCAACCTATTTTCCTAGTTTTTAAAAACACACAACCCTATTTTTGCCCTTCTTTTTATTTAAATTATACTTGAAGGTCGCAAAAAACATTTAAGTAACTCGCATCCACAATAACTACAGTCTTAAGTCATTTATTTTCTGTATCTTGCAGCTTAACAACTTAGTCAATTTCAACTACGATAACTAAAAATCAAGATTAAGGTCTTATATAAAATTTTAAAAACTATTTGCACAAAAAAAAATCAATGAAAAATGAATTTTTTTTTAAAAAAAAACACCTTTTGTTGATTTTCCATAATAACTTTTCTGGCTTGCACCTCCAATATTTATTTGGCATTTATCAGTATTTCATTTTTTTTTACATTTGTGTTTTATAACACTTAAAATTCAAATTATATTTTGTTTCTATTATAGCATTCAACTGGACTTCCAGTTCACTTGTTTCCCACTCACTCGCCAATCAGTCAGAGCCAGAAGAAGTTCGTAGCAGACCATTAAGGGTTGGCTTGTCACGTAGGCAAAAAGTCAAACCTCTTCATCCATATTTTATTGAAAAAGCTGCTTAGCACATGTACTGAGAAACTGTAGTCAAGTCATAAGTAAACATTCATACAATATCAGAGATTTGTTATTTTTGTACCTAAGATATGCAAAGTATATGCAATTGGTACATTTTCAGTGTTTTAGTACTTAAGTTTACTTAAATAAGAATAAAAAAATGTATGTATACTAATTATAATTAAATCATTAGTGTACTTAAATTAACATAATTCTCAGCAATATTGCTGTCTAAAGCTTTTGTATTTTTCTCATTCCATTTAACATGAATGAATTTCACATTATTTTATAAAATATTATCCAAGCTTTTGATGAACTATCTTTATTTATAAAGTTAGTTGATAAATTTCTTGACTCACTATTTTTATTTATGAGCAATGTATCATATTTGTTTTTTGTTTTGTAGAAATGTTTGAAACTCCATTAAATATCTGTACTTGTTACACTCCTGTTAATATTCTCCAATTTTTGTACAGCTCTTACACAAATTGGATAAATACAGCATGATACTTTTGGTAGCCTACAGTAAAGCTTTGCATAATCTAATTACACATTTTCAAAGTTCTGAATCCATGTTGTTACTTGCAAGTATTATGAACAGTTATGTTTTTGTCAAACAGAAAGAAAATTGAGCATTTTCCCATATATATTGATAGATGTCTTGTTAATTTTATTAAATGGGCCACATAACATCAGGAATGGCTCTATGTAAGAACATTATCAGCTCTTAACCCTAGAATTACTGATTGGGCACTTATAGAGCACTTGGGATTTTTTAACATTTTTGCAAAGTATTTGTACACCAAATTGCTTATGGTTTCATATCCTTATTGGTTACAAGATCCCTAATAACTAGTGAGTCACATAAGAAAATCTACAAAATAACATCAATACTGCAAATAATCCCATTAATTACCACTAGGGTTTCCAATGGATTTTGTTTGTTTGTTATCAAGCACAAAACTAACCATGGGTTGTCTGTGTTCTACCCACTACAGGTATCAGACCCAATTTTTAACATTATAAGTGCTCAGACTTACTGCTGAGCAACTATGGGGCGTTTACAATGGATATAAAATATAAAATAAATGATTTCACCCAGTTGATTTTTGGGCAGTTCTTTACACTGACTGTAATGACAAAAACATAATATGCAACATGTGTACTTCACCAGTGGTGAACGGTTTGTAAACAAGTCAGTAATTTGAGGTTTAAATGATATGCTAGAAATTGTTTATAGATCTGGATGTTCATAAGGAAATCTACTGTATAAGTTGTATATTGTTACGTCTCTGGTCGTTGGTTAATTTTCCGTAGAAATTCTTTCCGAAGAACTTCAGCAGTACAAGTCCTTTCTTAAATAAAACTAGTTTATTCTTTCTCAATACAACTTTGCAATACATTTAATTTCCTCAGTCAGTTTAACTTAAACACACGCTATAATTCACAATGATTTACACACTTTACTTACGGCTTGACTCGATTATCTGTCTATATCTTCAATCTTTCTGTCTGCTATTCCAGTTTCGATTAATTGTCTAGTATTATCTGGCGCACTTATATACAGGAATAGAGGACATGTAGAAAAGTCTAGAGTTGCCAGGAAGAGACATGATCCTTCTAGAAACTCCAGCACGCATGCTTCTAGTGTCACGTGCCTTTCGCTGTCATAACACTGCCCCTTCCTTAGTATTGTTCGTCCTAACAATAGCCACTTACATTAAACCAATAGATAATTAACAGTGACTTAATTAAATGTACATAATTTACAAACACAAAATTAAAATTCAACAAAGTCTCTTAATTTTGCGGAACGTATCTTCTTCCGTACTGGTCTCCATCTCGTTGGCTTCTGCTTCACATAAAGTTCATCTGCTCCATCAGGAAATGTCCTATTATCAGTAATAGTCACATCAGTAGTAGTAACTTCATGAAGGGCTTCACTGTTTCCCTTCTCAAAACCGAGTAGAGTTTCTTCTTTGACAGTGGCCTTTCAAGGTGACATGTCTTCAGCAGCATCTTTTGTTCCATTTTTCACTTCGTCCCAACTGAAATGTCCAGCACTGTGGTAATGCCAAAGCCTGTTGGCATGCACCACCTTTGGCTTACCTCGCGACCACATTTTATTCGGAAAGTCACGTCTGAGAGACGATCCACTATGTCATATGGGCCTTCCCATAGAGAAGACAACTTAGGAGACTTCCCTTTGGTCTTCCAGGGATTAGACAACCACACCTTGTCTCCTGGTACAAAGCTGACTTCAGTAGACTTCTTATCATAACATAGCTTCATCGAATCAGCAGACGTTTCCACGTTTGAACGCACTTGATGGTGAATAGTATCCATCCTTTCCGATAACACTTTCACGAACTCTGACACATTTTCAGGCAACTCTAATTAAAGTGGGCATCCTGTTAACAGATCCACTGGGAACGAAGTTCCCAACCAAACATCAATTTTGCTGGAGTGTATCCAGTAGCTTCATGCTTTGCTGTTCTATAGGCCATCAACAGTGGAGGAAGTAAGACATCCCAGTCATCTTGGCGGCCATTACAAAACTTTGCCAATTCCTGTCCCTGTGTCCAGTTGTACTTTTCTACCATCCCATCAGACTGTGG